AATTGTTAAATATGTAAACCTGCTATAAATCCATCTTTCTACAGCTATTTTAAGATGTCTTTAAAATAATCCTTTTTCTTATTAAGAATAATTACAACCTCTTTCATATAGAAAAAGGTTTCCCACATTTTCAGAAACCATATTCTAAAACCTTAACTTTAAAAAAAAAAAGAATATTATCTCTTTGGAATACAAGAAACACAAGACCACACATGTATTTTTTAGTGCTCTTTTCTCCACAGTTTTCCTTCAATCTTTACATTGCTTTCTTCCCTCACTGTTCTTTTTACCTTATACATTTAGATCTTTCCCTTAATTCTTTGGAATAAAGAATTGTAGTAATTTTCTTATACTTATTAACTTATTTATTGAGGAGTTCTATGTTTCTTACTCTTAATTTTTAAAGTAGACAAGTACAATGATTTATATATTTTCCAAAACATAATAAAAACTTCTAAATTTTAAAAAGGCTTACCCTTGACTGTACCACAAACTTTTCCAATAATGTTTTAAATGTATAAATTAAAATTTAAAATACATAGGATCAGAAAGGAATCTAGTAACAATGAAATGCAGTTTAATATCATCTAAAACCAATTTTATATATATATTTGGGGGGGGCTGAATTTCTGAGGTATATGGAGTAGAACTCAGTTAAGAACTCAACTCTAAAAGCCTTCAAAAGCAATAATATTGTTGAATTCCAAATGCTCTAACATCATGGATGACTGTATGATAATAACCCTACAAGCTAGTTACCATGGCTATCAAAATATACACGAGGAAAAAAGCCTAGAGCAGTGGTGACCAATCTACGGCAGGCATGCTGCAGCAGCCTGCTTGTTACCACTGAAAGCGCTCAAAGATTCACCATCGCTACCCTAAGAAAGGTGTCCAACATTATATAGCTACCAAGTGGCAAGCTGACTCTTCCGTCTCTCTCCAAGGCCCAGGTTCCTAACTTCTTATCTCCACTGCCAGCGCTCATAACTCAGGATTCTTAACTTAGGCCTAGTCATTGCAATGGCTCCCTAACTCTTGAGTGTTTTCCCATCCTTTCCACCCTTCACTGGCACTGTACTGCCTACAGGATTGAGTCTAGGTTCCTAAATTCACAATTCAAGAACCCAGGGAGCCACCCTTATCTTCCAAATCAAACTACAAGGCCTGCATTCCAATATGACACCAGCTGTTCTGTTGCCACCTCTCACTACTGTCAGAATGCCTTCTCCTGCCTACTATTACCTCCCATTTAAATGTCTTATCCTTGCAGATAGAGCTTAAGTAATACAAACTTAGTGAAGCGTTCCATCTCTAGCCAGAGTGAATTTTCCTCCCTCTGCATTCTTACAGCTCCATAACTGTAGCAAGACACTAATTAAACATATTCATGAAATATGATTACTTATACCATGGAATTTGGGGTTTCAGTTCCCCAAATATGTCACACGCATCTCACCTGCAGGCCTATACTGCACTTATCACCTACAACATTCTTGTCACTTTTACCCTTGACCAATTCCTACTTTTCCTTCCTAAGTTCAGAAGAGACTTCCCCTAGAAATCCTTCCCCCACTGGCCAACTATAACTCTGAGTCACATGCTCTCTGCTGAATTCCCACAGTGGACACAACCTCATCACAGGACATGGATTGATAATTGGGTATGTACTTGTTTGTTTACCCACTAGACTCTAAATCTCATCAGAGACTATTTTATTCATGGTCTCCTACGGTTTGGATGTGGTTTGTCCTCCGAAGAAGTACATGCAAGAAGCTCAGTCCTCAGTGTAGTGACGTGCAGAGAAAGGGAAACCTTTCAGAGGTTAGGAACTAATAGAAGGCGACACCATCCTCAGAAGGGATTAATGCTGGACTCTCAGTGTGGGTTAGGTCTTGCAGGATTGGACTGGCTGCCATGAGAGCGGGCTATTACAAGGCAAGTTTGGCTTTCTCCGCTCACTCTCTTGCTTCTTTTCTTGCCATGACCTCGCCTGCCCCATTCATTTCCAGCAAGTTGCAACACAGCTAGTGAGGTCCTCGCCAGACAATGGTACAATGCTGTTTGGACTGTCCAGCCACCAGAACTGTGAGCCAAATGAACTTCTCTCCTTTATAAATCACTCAGTGTCAGGTATTCTCTTATAGTCAAACACAACAGACTAAGACACGGTCACACCGCAACACCTAGCATAGTGCCTGGCATGTAATTGGAACATTCTTAAATGAATTTACAACTAATTTGTTATCCTGTCTGATTAATCCAGAAACAAATTTCAAAGTGCTGGGCTTTACAAATACCAAGTACTAATTAAATAACTTGCATAAAGAAATTCTCTTGACAAATGGCCTAGATTAATTATCTTAAGTCTTCAAATGATATGGATTGAGTTGTAAAAGAGTACAAATATGAATATTTAATAATGTCTCTTGTAAGGTAAATGAGGTAAATATTTCAAAACATATTTTAAAACTTATTAATGACTACATCAAACTTAAGAATTTACTTGATTTATTGTGAACCATTTTAATTTATGGCTCATTCATAACTTATCTGCATTCCTCAATTACTATTTATCTGTACTATAAAAGTAAATAAACTCCAAATTACCTAGGCTCTTTATCATTTGGGACTATTCTCCGTACTGTTTCTATGTACCAATAGCTACTCAGAGGCAAGCCGCTATTATCACTTGAAAGCCTTTGCTTTCCTAAAACCAAGATTTTTCTGCTTTCTATCATCTATAAAACTATCCTTTAAAATAATAATCACAGAGACTGGGGATGTAGCTCAGTGATAGAACATTTGTCTAGTGTATGTGAGACCCTGAGTTCAATCCCCAATACTGCAAAAAAATTAAATATATTAATCATAATTTACTTCTACCATGTCTCTATTTATTCAGAAAAGAATAGCTCAGGCTCAGCTTTAATTCACCCATCCATTCATCTGTGGGCTTATTTATTCACAAGCACTCACTCATCCATGTATAAGCACCTGTTTTATGAAAAATCTTGTTCATCAGCAAAGCTGATTCAGGTTACCACAAATACTTCCATCTCTCAAACACTCCAAGTTCTGTATCAGCACTGTATAGATCTGTGTTAAGGGTAATATGAATTTCAGAGACATACATATATGTAAAGGCTTGAGAAGTGTCTTAAAGTCATTCATAATTACGGATAACAAGGTTTTAAGCTAAAGGAAAAACTCAGAAAAACATTTACAGTACACGGCAACCAAAGGATTAATCAGCTCTTTGTAAAAACACTGGAAAAAGAATAGTTTTGTGGTAAAAGGAACAAAGGATATATAAACAGGCAATTTATAGAATACAAATGGCCCTGACAAATGTATAAATATACTTTACATCCCTAGAGAATTGCAAATTAAAATAAAAGTATATTTCTTATTTATCTTTCTTATGAAAGATAAATACAAATGATGAAAACAAAGGCTCTCATCCTCAGGGTTGGCAAGAGCCTATCACATTGCATAAGTATTAGCTATAAAAATCAGGACATCTTTTCTATAGAATAATATGACAATACAAGTGAAAATAAGTAACATGCACATGCTTTGACTCAGAAATTCTACTTATGTGACTATTATCCTAGGGAAACAAAAGGAAATATATATCTATTATGTGAATGCTTGTAAGAATTTCAGTACAGAATTATTAAAGAAAAAAACACAAAACAACTGATAAGCCATACCTTAAATGTACCCAATCACTAGACTATTATGTAGCAGTTAAAAGACACAAGGTAGTTTTTTTGGTTTTTTGTTTTGTCTTATTTTTTGAGACAGGGTCTTGCTATGTAGTTTAGGCTGCCCGGGAACTCACTACATAGCCCAGTCTGGCCTCAAACCTGTGGCAATCCTCCTGCCTCAGCCTCCCAAGTGCTGGGATTACAGGCATGCACCACCAAGGGTAGAATTTTATGTGCTGACATGTAACAATACATTGTTATAAAAAAGAAAAATGTACTACAAATTAGTGTGACCATATTCAAATCACTTCAGATTACAATCAACCCAGCGACATTATTATAGAGATAACTATGAATCTACTATTTTTACATTACTTTCAAATGTGTCAACACTGTATATTTGAGAATTTCTGAAATACATGATCCTACTAAGGCCCTCCAGCTCTAAAATTCTTTAATTCTAAGAATTTTACACATCAGAGATTTGGGTACAACATTATTGCAAGCCCTCAGTGTGTCTCTCCATATATGTAAGTGCCTCTGATCTGTCAAAATCCAACATGAACTGCTAAAAATGTCCAGAAGTTTACACCTATTGCAAAATTTAAGTTTTTAACACTATACCCTAGATTATCAATAATTCATGTTAAATATGCTCATTTTATGAAATTATAACTCTTATCTCAATAGTAAAGACCATTCTATTTTTAAGAACTAAGGAAAAAAAACAGAACCCTTTGAACAGTTAAAGAGATGAACAAAAGTAAACCACACTATCTATGGTACATTTCACCCAAAAATGCTAAGTGTAAATCAAGTCCAAGGCAACAATAAACAGAATGAGGCCCCTGTATAGGGATTTGGAATCAGAAGACCTGGAAATAAAGAAATCTCTTGGCTACACAATTCCAAGCAAATCAAACAACCTATCTGTGTCTAACTTCATTCTTTGCAAAATGAAGATATGAATAAAACAATTATATATAATGCTTGGCTAAAGGTGGGATAAAATACCTTCTCAAATACTTGTCTAATAAAAACAATGAATTACTCATGTTGTTGTTAAGGTTGCAAACACAGTCTGCTTACTTATTTTCCATATGAATTTTTCTAACATTGCATGCACAACCATCCCATTGTTTTTGTTTGTTTCTTTCTTTATACTACATATCAGAAAGGTGTTTTTTGCTCCCAAAAAGTCTACTTGTTGGGCATCAGTCTTTTCCACTATAAATATGCAATCCTTTGTTATCTCACAAATGAAATTCAGGAAAAATGCATACTTACAAAGCACACCCCCAGAATTCTGTGTTGCTGTCCCCTGAGCTCAGTGCTTTTCTTAGGCACATATACCTGGCTTCTCTCATCTCTTCATGAGGTTCAGGGCAAAAAGTCTAGCCAAATAGATGATTTTTGGTTCCTCCACACCTTCCCCAAACCACCTACAAGTAAATGAAACAAGGGAGTAAAACATACTTATAACTTTACTTTTTTAATAAAAAAAAAATGAAGATTAGCCCAATTTCCTTTTGTGAAGATTATTCCAGATTGCAAAACAGAGGAAATGCTCCTAGAGTCATCCAAAAGCCCAAATGACCTTACTAGAATTCTTCACATCCTAGTGCGCAGCCAGCATATTCCTCCTAGCGTCTTTTATCCATGGCAGTCCCCTATTGAGCTTGCTAGATGATGCAGTGTAAATTTTAGCCCAAATCTGGTCAAAAGCATTGTCTGAGCATGACAACCAGTTGGTAAACTAAGTATGTAATGAAATTCATATTTAATGTCTGAATTTGATGGCTCAATTGTATTTCTAAGCCAGCCTAAGCCTCTGAAGAGAAATATATGTTCTTCCCATTCTTGGTACTGAAAATTTAAAAAATAAAGGTAAAACAAAAGTAACCAAAAATATATCTTTGGTTTTAGTTAAGAGCTGTGGGCAGGAATATTCTCAATTATTTGTGGCTCCTCTCAAAACAGTCTGTAAGAATGCAAAGAAATTCATCCAGGACAACTGTGGTTGTCCACATATAGAGTAGATGTGGTACATCAATAAACCATTTCTAGAAAGAAGGTATTCTGCAAAAGTTAATCAAAATAAACTGTTGAGGGCCGGGGATGTAGCTCAGTGATGCCGCACCTGCCTTGCAAGCGCAAGGTTCTGAGTTCGATCTCCAGTATCGGGGGAAAAAAAAGTCAAAATTTCAAAATAAACTGTTGAGACACTGCCTTTATACAGTAACAGATAAGACACACTGAGAAGTACAGTGAGGTACATACTTCACTATTCTACAAAAGCAGCAATCTTCACCCCAAGATGGGTGACAGACAAAATGAAATTTCTCAATGACAATATAAAACTGTCAAAGTTTTCATTTTCTGTCTGTACTGTCCAATACTGTACTCACCAGCCTGTGGCTACTAAGCTCTAGAAATTTGGGCAGCTCAAATTGATACGTTATAAATGGGTAATACACATGAGATTTTGAAGATAGTGCTATTTGAAAAAAAGAATTAAAACATCTCTAGGTTTTATATTTACTGCAGGTTGGATGTATTCTTAATGTACTGTGCCAAACACTTACTAAAATTAATTTCAGCAGTTTCTTTTTCTTTTTTTTGGTACCAGGGATTGAACTCGGGACCTTGTGCTTGCAAGGTAGGCAGCAGAACCACTGAGCTGAATCCCCAGCCCTATTTCACCAGTTTCTTAATGTGGGTACCACAAAATTCTAAATTACCTGTGTGGCTCACATAATGTTTCTACTAGATAACGGTGTTCTGCATAATAAAATAAAATTTAACGGAGTAGCAAATGCTGAGCAATTGCAGTACTGCTTAAGGGCCAGTAGCTGTGGTTGTATAGGAGGCAAGTGTTCAGATACTGTACATAATACTGAAATCAAAGCTGCAAAGTATAATTATTTGGTTTTACTGGATGTCTGAATAACAAACGAGGTCTATCAAACTAGTAAAGAATGCGGCTAGGAGTCAATATCAGATATTCCCACAAATAGAACAAGTAAGGAACTGACAGCTAAGGTCAGGCAAATGCTACTACGTTGGCACAGGAAAAACAGGTGGCTGATACAACATTCCCGGAGTTGCAAACTTTCAGTGACTTCAGAACAGGTACAAAACATACCAATTTATATCCGAAGACAGGCAAGCAAATGCCAGAAAGTTCTCTGGAAGAACTACAGAAAGAGCCCAATCTCCTAGACAGCTAAAATGCCATAGGGGCTTCTGGCAAGGGAAGAGGACGTAGTCCAAATTCACTGGGTGATGTGCCCAGGACCTGCCTGTGAACACCCATGCGGAGGGAGAGAAGCAAACTTGCTGTCCCCCGTAACCTTGACACACACTTCATCCACCTAGGGCCCCACCCTAGATCTCCGCTCAGCTCCGGTGTCCCCACCCCAGGAACAAGGGGAAGTGGGACCTAAAACGTCAAGATAGGGAAGTGGAGGAGAAAGGGCAAGAGGGGGAGGGGGAGGTAAGTACCTGAGACAGAAGGGGACTCCAGGTCCTTAAAGCCGGATCATCACCGAGGCCCCAACCTGGCTCCCGCTGCTACTAGACACCCAGGAGGTGCAACTGACCTGGCACTGCGGCGCAACTGACTGTGCACTCCCAGACCCGCAGCTATGGCAACTTGAACTAGCCGCCCCGCCGCGGCCAGAGTACCCGACGCGCTGCTGTCGCTCGGCCCTCTGGGAGGTGTAGTCCATCTCCTCTCAAGAGCAAGGAAGTATCGAGGGGCGACGGTCCAAGAAAAACTGCACGTCCCGAGAAGCCATGCGACAGGCCTTCCAGCGACTCTCCCGGAAAAAAACGGGATTAGCGGGCTCCAGGTCCCTCAGAGGCGCCCTCTGGTCCTGCTCTATTTATTTTTTCTTAAAGGACCAGTAGTTGTGGTTGTATAGGAGCCAATTGCCAAGGAGAAAGTGAATTATGCTTTCTTGGCCCTAACTAATTTTTTCCTAAAGAAACAGAGAAGGATAATATCCAGCAGTGAAACGTGAAACTCCTTTTAATACCAGGTTCCAATGTCTTGTTCCAAAGATTCAAATTCTTACAACTGGAAGGGAGCCAAGAAAATTATCTAGTCAAAACTCTTAGGCCTGGAAAGAGTAAGTGACATGTCTGAGAGCATATATTTCATTCATGGCAAACCAGGTAGAGTGTGAAGCTGTTAATTAAGCACTGCTGCCACCACTAGAGAGTCACCCCCTCAACTCATTCTGGAACATGAAAGAAATATTTTCCTCTGAACTCCACTGAAGTTAGTTTTAGTCCTAAAGAAGTAATAAAAACCTCAACAAAGAACTGAGTTTTGGAAAGCTAAGAATTAGAAATTAGTCACAAGAGTAGGCCTTTCCTTCTACTCTGCCTAAAAAGCCACTAACCCCTTGGGCTAAAATCAAATTTCACCTTAACTGTGAAAGTTTTACTGATTACCTAGAGATCCTGGTTACCTAAAGCTAGATCACCTTAATGGACACGTTTCCTCTAAAAACAGTTTTGTTCTGGAATGATCCATCATTTCCCATTTCATCTCTGTTAGCCCTTCAAACAAAGGAAGCTAACATTTTAATCTCTCTCTCTCTCTCTCTCTCTCTCTCTCTCTCTCTCATCTCTGTATCCCTCTCATAAATTTAGCACTCAAATTTGATACAGCAGAATCATCGTAATATTTTTTTCTGGCCAATACTAAGATGTAAAATCTATTCCATATCCAGTTTTTCATAAAACCAATTCTAAAGACCTACCTATGTCTTTGAATCTGTCTTCAAGATGCTTGCTCAAATTCTTACTCTAGAATACACCCCACCTAACACAAAGGTTAAGATAATTTCAGAGCAGCCATAAAATTGCCCCATAGGCTTGCAGAGGCATAATAACTTTGTTCCTTAACGTTTCAGTTTTTTCAAAAGAATTTTTTCATTCATTTAATTCATCAAATGTATGATGGATCTGTCTAGAATCTAGACATTGTATTAGATACTGAAATTACATGGATAATGAGGAGATAGCACAGTCTTTTCCTTCAAGGTGCTAAGAGCCAAACAGGCTAATAAGAAAATTATTACAAAAATAGGAAAAAGAACACTGCAATTGTTTCTGTGGACAGACATAAATGAGAAACTTTCTCAGAAGAGATTCTGATCAACTGCTGGGGACTACAAAAAAGTTAATGTGACCTTGTAGCAATAAAACGTGATTATTGACAACCTCTCGTCCCTGGCCCAACGATATTTAGAGAACTGGATTCAGTTGTGATGATTCCCCCCCACTTTTAAACCAAATAAATCAAAAATCACAGGACACAACTTGGATAAAAAGTAGATAACCAAATTTGAGTTCATTATGACCAACAAATTTTTAAATACATTAAGTTCAGAGCAGCAGTTTGTCATACAGTGTGCTCTCCATTGACAGATGCAACATTCAAAGATAAATGGAGTGAATTCAAACCACAGAATCTTTCTCCTTAAATCTTTCTCCTTTGGGTAAAACAGATTTTACCCAAAATTATCTAAATGATATTAATTATTTTTAATTGATATATCAGATATATGTTATTCAATCCAAACACTACACCCAAGCTTAGGTATTTGAACTAAGAGGTACAAAAACTCGCAAAGATCATCTGTTGTAGAACTCTTCTTTTGCAAACCTTGTAAATGGAAAGAAACAAAAATTACACATTAGTTTACTAGGTCTGCCATAACAAAGTATGACAGAATGAGTGGCTTAAGCAATATAAATGTTCTTGTCCTTTCCTTCCTTTCTCCCATCCTCCTCCCTTGTTCCCCTTCCCATTTGAACATTTTCTTCCAACTTCCCAATATCTATTATACATTTTAGTCCTCATTTCCACTTTTGGTTTCTCACATCAGAAAAACAATGTGGTATTTAAACATGTCTGTCTAATTTATTCCACTCAAGGTCCATCTGTTTAAGTTATAAATGTTTGAAGCTCATCCTTCTTTTTTTTTTTTTTTTGGTGCCGGGGATCGAACTCGGGTCCTTGCGCTTGTAAACTCATCCTTCTTTATGGCAGAGTAGTACTCCATTGTATTTTTTTTTAAAAACACATCTTTTGTATTCCATTTGTCTGTTGATGGGTATTTGAGCTGTTTCCAAGATTTAGCTATTACAAATGGCTGTAGTATGATGCTTTTAATTCTTTCAGGAAGATAACAAGAAGGGGAATAACTAGGTCAAATGGAACCTCTAGTTTTAGTTTTTAAAGAAATTTCCACACTGATTTCCACAGTGGTTGCACCAGTCTATACTGCCATCAACAGTGGAGAGGAGTTCATTTTTTCCCACAGCCCTGTCAGCATTTGTTATTGGTTGATTTCTTGATAACAACCATTCTTTCTGGAATGAGGTGGAATCTCAGCATTCTTTTAATTTGCATTTCTTAACTGACCAGTGATGTTGAACATTTTTTCATATATTTATTTACTGTTTCTACTTCTTCATCTGAGAAGTGTCTTTTTTTTCAGATGCCCATTTTTGGATTGGGACTTTAAATTTTGGGGGTCTGATTTTTTTCAGTTCTTTATATATTCTAGATAGTAGTCCTTTTTCTGATGAATAGCTGGTAAAAAAATTTTCTCCCAAGCTGTGGGTTATCTCTTCACTCTGTTGATGGTTTCTCTGGCTGTGCAAAAGCTTTTTAATAAGATGAGGTCCCAGTTGTTGATGCTTTGTGATATTTCCTGTGCAACTGGGGTGTTGTTCATGAAGTCTTTGCCTACTCCCCTGTCCTCAAGAGTTCTACCTATTCTCTCTTCCAACAGATTTAGTGTTTCTGTTTTAATATTTAGATTTAACCAATATAAATGTTAAACACAAAGAAAGTGAGAGAGAGGCAGACAGATAGACACATCTGATGGCTGAAAGTCCCATATCAAAGGTTAGGATTCTTCTGAGGCCACTCTACTTGGCTTGTGGATGCCCATCTTCCCTGTGTCCTCACATGGCATGTTCTTTGTGTAAGCATGGGCTTAATGTCTTTCTCTCTATATCCATCTTTTTTTTTTTTTAAGACAGGGTCTCATTTTGTAGCTCAGGCTGGCCCTGAATTCACTATGTAGCCCATGCTGACCCAAACTTGAGGTGATCCTCCTGCCTCATCCTTCCGAGTGCTAGGATTACAGGCATGTGTTACCACACCCAGCTATCTTTCTTTCTTTTCATAAAAATAACAGTTATATTGGATTAGGGCTAAAAATGTATGACTTCATTTAACCACCCCCATTAAAAGCCCTATCTTCAAATTCAGTCACATTTGGGATTATGGTTTCAACAAGTGAATTTTAGAAGGATACATTTCAATCCATAACACATGACTTCTCCCATATTGTATCCATTCAAGATTAGTGTCATCTATGATCTTCTCTGTATATAATACCTTGATAGAGGTAGATGTGGCAAGTATTTTTATATACATTGCCCACACATTTTTATATATCATACCCTCGACCGGTATACCCATAGCTTGGGCACCCATGAAGCCATATATATATATATATATGGTGCCTATCTCTCTGACTATAGCTGATGACACAAGGAATAGACATCCAAAACATTGAGCCTTTATTTTGTTCTCAATGATTCAAGTAAAAAATATGTATTCTGCTGCTTTGTGAATATTTTCCTTGTGACGTTTAAGAAATAAGATGTAATCAAAACATATAGTGAATGTTTATATTTTAAAAATTTATTACAGTAAAAGACACATTACCATCAATCCCCTTCAAAATACTCTCCCTCGCTTCACACACACTTATCTCTCATTCTTGCTACCTCCTGAAGCAGTTCTGAAAGTCCTCTTTCTTGAGTGTGTCTAGTTACTGGCTGCCTGAGAGTCCTGAATTGACTTAAAACATTTACCTTTCATGATCATTTTGACTTTGGGGAAGAGCCAGAAGTCACGTGGTGCAGATCCAGTGAAACCAGTGGAGAGGACACATCATAATGTTTTTAGGAATGAGGACCCACTGCCTTTCAGTTGGATGACACTCAGCAGCAACATTCCCCGCATTTTTTAATTACACCTTGTAAACACACTCAAGATACAGGACTTTCAGAACCACTTCGGAAAGTAGCAAGAATGAGGGATAAGTGTGAGTGAAGCGAGGGAGAGTATCTTGAAGAGGATTGATGGCAAAGTGTCTTTTTAGTACAATACATTTTTTAAATTTAAACTTTCACGATATATTTCAATCACATCTCATAAGTTTTGATGATGGAAATCCAAACAGCCCTACTGAAGATTATATTGATGAAGCCTACTGTTGCATCTGGGGAATAAGCACTGCGTCTCTGTTGTCCAAGCAGCGCACTGGGATTGTAACTCAACCCCAATAATAAATTAAAGGGACATTTTTAATGAAAGGAAGACACTTTCTTTGTAAAGAGGAAAAAGGAGGATAGAAAGGAGAAGATATATAGCTACCCTGACAAGAAAGAATCAGGGTAGGGGGCTTCGGAAAAATGGAAGACCTTTCCCCTCCACCCGGAACTTGCCATAACTGAATTGGCTTCCGGGCACCTCTGCCTAAAATTTTTTTGGTTTTGATGGGCTATTTGCAGCTCTTTTCTGTTTGTTTACTTGTCCTTGACCTACCTTTTAAGGCCTTATCTTTGGGGTGGGTAGCCAGTTGGCAAGGGGG